ACGCAATTTATATTAAAGTTACAGCCTTTGCAATCAGCATTCAGCAAACTTATAAAGTTTTCATCTTTCGTCAAAACCAAGCCACCAGGAGATATAATCGGTTAAACCCAATTTAAAAATAAGGAGAAAGAGAGGGGTTTACTTGGACGACCCAGATGGCGCCGGCTGCGGCGGCGACACCCCATCCTACGGCGGCCTGGATATCCGCCGATTGGATCTTTGGGAGCTTGGGCACACTTCCTGGCATCACTGCTTCGATCTCTCGCTATCAAATCGACTTAAACACAAATGACGATGATCGATGAGATGTCGGGTTTCAAGGTCAGCCGCTACTACTAAAACTGCGTGCCGTCTACTTATAGAAACAGGGACAACGTGTCGTTTTATACTACAGTTTTATTTCCTCGATGGTTAAGCGTTACACTTGTACCACCTCTAGAAGAGTAAAATGTAACAATGATGGTAGAAATCAACATGGAGAGAGCAGCATTTGCTGCAAAAAAAACAGCAAAAAGAGGTATCACTATCCAAACAGTCAAGATATCATTCTATATTAAAGAACCAATGCTTCGCATTGCTCTTTCTTCGAATACCCTTCTCCGGACCACCGAATATGATTGCATGTTTCTTTAATTAAAGTAAGTCTAAATTGGTTAAGTAAACCGTTTCTATACCTTATACTGATCTCACATATAACAATTTAAATATTTAATTTTTCTATATGGGGTAGACTATATATTATATATTATACACATCAACTAGCTAGACTTAAGTATCACAAAGTGGTAGTTTATAAATTTTAAAATTATATAGTCAGCACAACTATTATGTAAATGCATAAAAGACTACAAGCTTTTGTATATTTTATGGGAGTCATGTCTTGTAAGTAATTTAGGAATCCATTTTTAATCCATATGTAGACACAAAAATTGAACATAGACAACTGGATATGTGTATGTATGTATAATAGTAGAACCGGCAGTTAGCCAAAATATAGAAATAACTAAAGATATGTACCTAGCTGAAATAAAATGCACATCTACATACAAATGAAGTCAAAATCTCTTGCTTACAATATAGTTTTAAACGTGTAAGTTGAATCTTACTTCGTGCGAATACCCATTTGGGGAATTCTTTATCTAAATAATAATAAATCAAACATAAAGTCAAAATAAGAAAAAATGATTGTACTTGGGATTTATCAAAAAAAAAATCGCTAGCTTACAGACAATGTGGTTAATGCAAAAATATATGAGTTTTAGAATGAGAAGTGATCGCTAAATGGGATTCAAATTCAGCAGAAAATTGTACACTAAACTTCAAATTCAAGAGCCTGCCGAACGTAAGACTAGTGGGTGGAACTATGATGGAGAGGAAAACTATTAACTATGAGTTGGCTCTAGTTGAATTATTGATAGGGGTATGTATACTTTTTCTATAACCTCTATTGATGATGTATTTTAATATCTAGTTGTTCTGTCCAAAGTACAATCATTTTTTCATATTTTGACTTTATGTTCTCTTGATTTATTATTCTTTAGATAAAGATTTCCCCAAATGGGTATTCACACGAAGTAATATTCAACTAACACGTTAAAAGCCATATTAGTTTCACTAAAAGTCTAAAACAGTTTTATCTCCGTGACAGATCATTATCCTGATTCCAGAGTAGGCTTAATGGAAGGCCTCTTGATTAATTATTACTAATACAACTCAGCTTAACAGTAGATTATGCACAGAGATAATATATTTTAAATAAACTAAATTAGTATTCATATAACCATTTGTCATTTGTCAAGAAAAAACTTCTCTAATCACCATTGACCTTTCTCACATCATCCCGGGAAGAAAACAATATTTTGGCTGTTCTATATTGATGTTGAAAGTCTTGAACATTTTAATATAACTAGTGTTGTCTCTATGACAACCTCTACATGATTAATAAGTTAAGATATATAATGAATTGGTGGACTTGGATGACCTAAAACGAAGAAGTAAAACAAAAAGTTTCTGGAACATATATAGTTTTTGACAGAGAGAAGCTCATACTCGAAGTCACTGAGTTCGGCTCGAACAAAAAGAAGTAAAAGGGATTTGATCTTGTGGGGGAATCCAATATGAAATAGAGAAGAATGTATCTCTTCAACTCGCCGGCAAGCCCCTGAATCTTATTCAGTGGGTATCATAAAGAGTTTTAAAGAGGTGTGAAAGCAAACCAAGTAAAGTTTCTCATCAGTTAAAATATAATGAAATAGAGTCGTTTTGAGGTTTCTTTTTATCAGCTGATATTTGTTGTGTTGATCTTAAACATATTTAAATCTAAGTGAGAGAAACGTAACGTTGTAAATCCCATGACGAGTTTTAGCAAAGTACTAAAGTTTTTGAAAGTATTTTTGTAATGAAATGTTTATACTATTAAAATGCTCTTCGGTCTCTTAGTAAGCACTACTATTAATGTTTTACGACCACTGAGTACTTAAAGCCGATTTGCTCAGTTTTTTTTTAATTGAAAAGTAAGTGTGTAAAGATGATAACTCAAGGAATTAAGCAACTAGATTGATTTGACTTGAGGAGTTTGATTTGCTAGTGGATGCACGAATGTGGACTGAATTTATTGTATCAGAGTACCTAGTGGCACCTGTCCACTTACAGTATCTCAATCACTTGTCCTTTTTGTTTAAATTTGTTTTACACATCACGAAAATAAACTTATTCAACTACCTAAATAAATAATTTTATAACACTGTTTATAACTACGAAGAATGAATAGGAATGCTTTAATATGGTCATATTATTGGTTTTAAATTGGTAGCCTTTTTGTTTTTTAAAAAGGATGACTTCTACGAACATTTCAATAGTTACCTGTTCAAGTAGCAACAGTGTCATGAGATTAATAGTCTTATACCGACATTTTTATTCAGTGTTATTAACAAAATATGTTTTTATAACAAATAAATAAGTAATGCGAAAATGATGAGGGCCAATGAAGCTGTAGGCTGACATAGCTAATGTGTGACTTGTGATTGTAAAATGCCTTTAATCTATACTATTAAAAGAGAAGGAGTCTAAATAAATCTACTTAAAAAAGTTGTTTGGACCCTTTCATTATACTAACATTTTTTTTATCTTTCCTTATATTTCTCTAACAATATTGTACAATAACATTATATCATATAACTTACCTTATATTTCTCTAACAATAAATTAGTCAATATTCTTATTTATTATACATTACT